CGGCCACGTGTCTCGCAACAGGGTCCATCACGGCGCTCACGCAGGGCACCAGCATCTTCCAGTGCCTGGAGCTCGCCTTCGGCCTCGGAACGGGCGTCGTCACCATCACCGACCCTGCTCTCTGCCCAATCACACGGCTGACAGTCACTTGATCACAGAAAACTTAGCTTCGGGTCCGTTTCCAAGGCAAGGCCCTGTGCCTATCTTCCCATTTTCTTTCCTTCGTTTTTGAGGTGTCATAGCAACGGCCTGAAGTTGAGCTATACTCCACCGTTAGCAGGTCTGTGAATCCAAATTTTCATCCCAAGTGTCCAATTTGTCACTGCTCTGCTCTGTCCTCTAGCCTTATGTCTTGTTTCGTAATTAATCGGCCCGTGGGGGTTCAACTCATGCGTTCGTCCACAACCGACGGGATGGTCAACACAGGACTTTGAGCGCCAAAGAAAACATTACGTGGCACATCGGCCCAGTCCCTGGATAGCATGATTGGGGGTAAGGGTGGGAAAGTGCAATAGGCTTTGAGCTCAATGCGAGGAATTCAATCATAGGGGATAGAGTTAATACAGCACCTGTTGTTTTCCCTGACTTCGAAATCCAGTGCTGACATGATCAGTGATTTCTTCCTTTACTCATGCTTTTCTTCGGCTGACTCGGTATCCCTTGGCGGATATTGTTACTGCGTGTGCTGGGACTACGATTGAGAGCTAAGATAGGCCCAATCGCTGGCACATACCATAGCTGGAGGATCGCCACTACCGATTCCAGCTCCACACGTTTTGTCGGTAAGAGGCTCCCCCCCTCCCCTCCCCACACGGCGACGCTGCGTAGAATGCTCGATGGCGCCACTGTCGAACTACGACCACTTCGGTCATAAGCAGACAGCGATGATCAGAAAAAGGGCATTCTCAGAACCCCGTAAGCTAACAGGAAGGATCGCAAAGTCAACTCGATCGCATCGTCAAACCTCTACATCTTACAGGTCGTATTCTCGAACACTAATACCAGTGGCAGTCTCGACAAGAAGCCGATGCGAGGAGTTACGTCGGGGACCTACGGAGTGGTGGTCTGTGCTTTCGGCGCGCGACCCACACACCGGCGAGAATGACGTCCCAGGATTTTCCTGGCGCGGCGCGACGAGACGGCGCCGCGCCGGTGGTGCTCACGGCTTTCGGGTCAAGGGGGTGTTCGTTTGCGGTGTCGATTGATTTGAGTGCTGTCTGAAGGTGTCTGCTAAGTTGAGTGGCGTGCTCTCGATGGTGCGTTGGCCATGTTTGCTCCTGGGGCCATGGGGTTGCCACGGTGCCTACGTCGTTATGGGCTTCGCGACGAGCACACGGCTATGCGATTTCAAAAATTTTCGTTCTCGCTGTTGTTTATGTTTTTTTCCCAGTAGCGCGTCACTGTCTTGGCCCGGCATCCTGTTGGCAAAAGGGTCCATCACGTGTGCACGCTATCAAGTTATGCTACCCAGGTAGCGACCGATTTATTTGGCCAATCAGAGCTTGCCGCACGACCTGGGAATTTCGTCACCCGCGCATATACCCACGGACCACAGATTGCACTTTCCTGTCTCCTGATTATGTAGACTGGGTACTGACACGTGGTGATGATTGAGTACCACTTCGGATTATCCCATTTGATCACTTTACTTTGTGAGTAGACAGCGCGCTGCACAGCCGCACCAGCCACAGCCGCCACACTTTCACATGAGCCGAGCCGAGCTTCACGCCGATGAACAGCCCTGATTCCCCCCAAACAACACTCTCAGTCCCACCTGAATCAACTCGCACACCAGACTAAGCTGAACATTGGGGAGAGACTGTAGGGTACGCTGAACTGTTGTACGAGGAGAAAGACCTCAATAGAGCCTAGATAAACGTGTATAGTAGTAGAGGACCACGAACTACACGAGGCGGCAGCTAAGGGTAGTTGAGGTTGGAGAGCAAAGTGGGAGATTTGGAGATAGCTAGTCGGTGTTTTGCACTGGCATAGTAGGGCGCTACGGATTAACGTCCGGAGCGCGTCGGCTGTTGGCCAAACCCCGCTATCCGGGCATAGCTGCTGACTAAAGCGGCCAAAACCGGGTAAAAATCAATCAAATTAAATCAAATTAAATCAAACCACCTGAATCGACCTCCCGAAACAATTCATTTCCTATATGTTTCTTTGGGAAGAAATGAAGAGCGAGGTTGAAAATCCTTTTTCTGATTGATGAAATGACCGCTAGATGCGGAATGCCAATAGAAAAGGTCGTAGGTATTATTGTGACAGAAGCGTGTTTAGACGGTCGGAGGAGGCTTACAATGAGGCAGGTATGTAAACGTAGAAGAGGGGAGCAAGAGGTAGGAGCGTCACGTGAGACACGTGACTGTTTATCATTTGCTCTGAAAAGGTAAAATAGGGTGCCTCTCACCGCCTATCACAACAGAGCCTGAGTATGCCAATGTCAGGGGCACAGGGATACGGCATCGGCCATGGTTGCTTTCCGCAAAAGGGCACGATCCTCTTCACCCATCCACTCGTCGATCAGTAGGTGCTTATGAGCACAATTGTAATTTTTGGGTGCATGCTTAGCGACAGTGGCCAGTTTGGATGTGACCAATGTCAGCTGTAGCGCATGTGCCACACAGAGGCGCTCAGGCATCCACCTGTGAGGGCCTAGCTTGCTCCTGCATGGGCTGAGAACGGCTGCAAGCCAGCGGAGCTGTAGTAGAGTCACCCTGGGGTGAAAAAAGCATTGATACGTCTATGAACAAGATTACGGCGGCTCTACCGTTTATAGGCGGGTCCGTGTCGGGCACATCATGTTCCATTCCGACCGTTACGAGGAACGGTGCCCACCGCTTTAGGTTGGCGAAGCCATCATGAGAAAAGCCGCCTCAGCTCCATCTAGAAGATACCAATGAGGGCCGGATTAGTAGTTGGGTCGGTGACGACCAGCGAATACCTGGTGTTGTATGTTTTTGAAGTTTTTGGCCTTTGTCGTGATCTATTTTGGTGGGACACAAGGGACGACCAGAGCTAGGGACCTGAGGAATGACGCTTCTTACTTGCAGGCAGAAATCAATGTAATCGACGCCGGAAATGACAAAGCCTCTTTTTAGAAGTCTTTGCAGCGCATGAGAGGCGTGTGTTATACTTGCAACTAGACGCGGCTACCCCTTTTCTTTCCGCAACCCACGCCCTATTCTGACTCAGGGCATGCGTCCTTGGAATAGCAACATGATTTTATTGGTCGTGTTTGAATTATGGAGTGACCGAATCCTTTCTTTCCTCCACTCTGGCAAGTTTTGATACCAGGAAACACTAAGAGTGCGATTTGTAGGAGAAAGACAAGGCTCAAACACTATGATGCTACCGTTGAACCTTTCCTCTCCTCATCAAGTACAACATCAAACCTCTCTAGAGTTGCTAGTGCCTCTCAGCATCCCTCTTGATATTTCCTAACCCCACCTAGGTACATCAATTGCTCTCTCTTCTTGCCTGGGATGTTGGCTCCGTTATACCACGAGTCGGTCAAGGGCATTAAGGTCTTGCCATTGGCAGCCTGGATTGCCTGCTTCCACTTCTCCTCGGCATCCCGCTGTGCTTCAATGGACTTGACAACCTTTTTCTGGAGCTTCTGAAGAAGTTCCACAATCATGTCAACCTGACTCTCAATGAACGGAGGTCCATTGCTAAACGCCGTGGGTGCTAAAAAGACATGTTAACAGCCGGAAGGTAGCAAAGGTTTTGGTGTTGCAATAACGTACCCTGAGGCCCGTAGACCATGAACAGGTTAGGGCATCCATTGGAGCAAAGTCCAAGACGAGTGAAGACGCCGTCTTTCCACCGGTCTGAAAAGGTGATGCCATCTCTTCCTTGAATATTGATCTTGGTGAGACTCCCTGTCATGGCGTCAAAGCCTGTCGCCATTACAATAGTGTCGAATTCGAGCTCGGATCCGTCTTCGCCTGTAATTCCCCTCTCTGTAAACTCTCGTATCGGAGTAGCTTTGAGGTCAACGATGCTTACAGTGTCTCTATCGAGACACTCCTAGTAGTCCTACTCAAGACTGCTCCTCTTGGTCCCAAATGCGAAAGGTGCTTTCTCAGGTACAAGGAATGCGGCCTTGACAGGATTCTTGACTCTCGGGCGGGTCTTCTTTGCCCAGAAGTCGTACATGAGTCTGTTGGGCTTCTCGTCAACGAGAAAGTCTCGGTAGTTCGCCTGATTGAAGTTGAAAAAACCACGATTCCAAAGCTCTTCCCAAATTTCTTCCCGTTCCTCATCACTCAATTCAAGCACGGACCCGGACTGTATATCGTATCCGAGACCCGAATGGCTATTCCGGCAATGTTCAAACATCCTCCGATAGGTGGATTTGCCTATTGACTGCTCGAGGTCACTCAAAGGACGCTGAACCATGGGAAGTGAGATACTGGCGGTGCGAATGTAGACTGTTAGATGCTCTGCTACCTTTGAGATCTCTTGAGTGCACTGCACAGCCGTTGCGCCTGAGCCAATGATGGCCACTCGTTTGCCTACGACTTTGGCATCAGCTGGCCACCGGGTTGAATGAATGAGTTGTCCTTTGTAGTCGTTTAGGTTTCGGAAATTGGGATAATGCGGCTTGAAACAACTGCCAGTAGCACAGAAGAGATACTTGCAAACGGCCTTGTGGCCATTCTCAGTCCTCACCGTCCATTCCCCAAAGGCCTCGCTGTAGCTTGCATGACTGACAACAGCTTTGTAGGTGACATCTTTAGATAGATCCAGTGTCTTATCGACGTGTTTGAAGTAGGCCCTCGGCTCTTCTCCGCTTGGGAACCTCTCAGACCAGTTCCACTTGCGCCAAACCTTAGGAATGAAGAACTGGTAAAACGGCATTTCCGAGTCGACGCGGGCTCCGGGGTAGGTGTTCCAATACCAGACACCCCCCAATGCTGAGCCTGCCTCGTGCACATGGACATTGAGCCCAAGCTTACGAAGTTTATAGAGGCTGTAGCATCCGCCGAAACCAGGACCAACGATGAGAACATCTAGCCTTTTCAACTGGCCAAATCCGTTGCTCTGAGGAGGTGAAGATGTCATGTTTGTTTGTAAATGGTAGTTTCAACTCTGATATGTATGCAGTGCTAGGGAACTCTGTAGGCGACTGGCTGACGAAAGGGCACTACCTTCAGTGTTTTCACACTAATTTATATATTTATAAAATAAAAACTATTAAAAATTATTTAACTAGTTAGATTGTACTTAAATATCTATATTTAAAGCTTTATTACTATATAAAAAATACTAGCTTTTTTAATATATTATTTTAAAAAAATATTAACTTATGCCCTAGTATTTAAAATCGTAATAATTATTGAAACCTTATTATCCTAATTTATATTAAATATTTAAACTTTTAATTATAAATAGGCGTTTAAGATTATAGAAGTTAAAATTTTAAAAGTCGGGTTAGCGCCTCTAACTTTACTAATCTTAGCTATATAGCTCGGTTTTAAAAAAAAGTTCTTATTATACTGTTACGAGCAGGTCAGGGCAACCAACTGTGGCACAAAGCAAAAGCTTCGATAATGATGACTCCGGCATCATTGTCCCCTGTTCTGCACTATATAGGTACGCCGGCCAGCACCCAACTGGTTGGGCCGTAACATATACTTATTAAAAAGATCCTTAATATCCTTTTATTATTATTTATTTTTTACTAAGTTAGCTAAGGACTTCGGAACTTCTAATAGGATTCTATTAATATTAAAATACCCTTAATTATATATTAAAATTACTATTATTATAATATATTTTAGTATAATTTTTTATAAAAAGTTTACTAAAAGCGAGATCGGGGCCTCGAGCCTCTTTTTTACTAGCTTTTTAACTTTAACCCTAAGGTTAAAATCGTAAGGCTAATTTATAATTATTATTTTCTAAGTTTTATAAAAAGAGGCTCTTAAGTCCCCTAAGTACTAGTATTAGGGGTACTAATTAGGACTTTAGTAAGCTAGGGCTTAAAAGTAAATTTAGGAGTTATATTCTCCGCTATTTTAAAAACCTTATTATTATTATTAATTTCTATAATTTTTCTTTTTTAATTAAAAAAAGACCGTCTTTTTTTTTAATTATAAAAGTTAGCTTAAGCTATCGATCCTGTACGTCTTTTTAAAGTACGGTTTAGTTACTAAAATACGATTCTTAGGGGGTCTTCCCCTATAAATAGTATAAATATTTACTTAATTATAATAACCTAAATTAAGTCGTATTATATAAACGTATCTAATTATACTTATAAAATTAGCTAAAAAGAGTATAAGTATAGTTTATTAAAATAGTCCGATTTAATAATTTAAAATCTACTTAGTTAAAAGCTTAATATCTTCTTTAGTTAATATATTTATTACGTAAAAAAAAAGAGTAACGTAATTAGTAATTGCACGCCTTTTTTATTTTTAATTATAATAAAGGGGATATCGTTTATAAGTTTATAACTATTACGCTTTTTATAATACTAAGCTCCTTAAGCTAAAATAATAAAATAAGTATTTTTATTAAAAGTATACTAATCGTAATCCTTAATAATTTAGTAATATTAACTTTAATAATACTAATAGCGATCCCTAAGTCTTATAATTAGGGACTAACTAAGACGTATAGTACTTATATTAAATATATGGGTAGAGCCTCGAGAATAAATACTATTTTAATAAATCTTTAGCTTACTTATTCCGTTAGCTAAGTTAAAATTAGTAATATTATTAATAGCTACTTAAATAACCTAAACCTTTATTATTAACTAATAATATTATTAATAATTCGAATATTAATACTAAGTATTTTTATATATTTAAAAAATAAGGGGCCGTAGTAAGAGTTCGGGCTAACTTTAATTATTTATAAAAAGTAAGCTATATTTCTTTTTATATATAATCGTATTAAAAAGTCCTACTGTTACGACCCAACACGCATGACAAGGCCAGGGCCTCGCCCCACAGGACCTGCGGCGGCTGCCACACCATATATGCAGAAGTACGGACTCAGGGTGACTCCTCTCGGGACGGAAGAACTATGGACAAGTCACGTGACCACGATCACACGATAAGATAAGGAACGGACGCCCGTGAATAAGTGGGACGGACGATCGTGAATAAGTGGGACGGACGACCGTTCGGTGAACAGTCGGACAATAGTGAGCAGGAACACCACAAAGGATATGTTCAGGAACGAGACTTGTATATAGTATGGACTTGAGCCAGGCTCAAGGACAGACTTCCCATAGCTTCTTCAGCAATCAACTTAGTATCAGATCTTACGATCGCTTTCAGCTATCTTCACTGAGAACCCCTTCTGACAAGACTACGATTGATCACCGAAGCCTTACCTACCTTACGACTTACAGACATAGCTTCAGGGAAGCTATCCACGACTACGACACTGTTTACTTAGCATTCGCAGCCTCAACTTCTGCTAACATACTCACTACGACTAGCTGGCCGTAACACCTACTTTAAACCTCGCGTACTTCGTTAATTTAATAAAGCCGTTTAGAATAACCCCGACTTCCTCTACTACTTTTTTTATAATATTAGTATAAAACTACTTATATACGGCCTTAATTAAACTCTTATTAGTTATAATATAGAGGTCTTATTATTTAATAAAAGTAATTATATTATTAATTTTAGTAAATAGTACTTAAATAAAGTTAAAATTAAAAAATAAAATAAATAGTCTTTTAATAACTTTTTTAATCTACTTTTTTTTTATTTAAAAAGTAGTTAATATCCTATTTCTTATACTTTTTTTAAAAAAAAATCCTTAGCTTAGGCCTAGGGTGATCCTCTAATTACGTCCTTAATTACCACAGGAGCAAGAACCCTACACAGCAGAACGAGGAGAGTTCACAGCCAGTGCCATATCACGCCGCAGCGGGCAGGTCTCCATCAAGAGGGTGCTCTGTTGGCTATTTCAACCCGCCACGTGTGATCCTACAACTTTTGGTGCTCATCCGCTCGTGACTTTTGTCACTGTCGTATCAGCGATGTAGAAAAGGGTACAACAGTAGCAACGGGAGAAGATGAGGACGATTGAGTCAAGTCGCTTCCCGATGCATCATCTGCCGTCCGATTCTGCATTGCTCGATTGTGTATTGAACTGGAATGAATGTTGCTGATTAGCATCGGACTCGCTGCTATCCAGAGAGGTTTCGTTGGCCCACAACCTCAAACCTGAGCATAGGTACAAAGACTGATGTACTGCGAGACCTGCACATCAAGACGCTAGCCCAATTGGGCATTTCTGCATCGAAATTGAGGTTTTGCAACAGTGACCTCTATAGCCTGCCATAGGCAAGTCTAAGTGGCTTTGAGTCGTCCCATGAGCAGCACGTCTCTTTCAAGGCTTCCCTTGTTCAACCAAAGAACGCAAGATCTGGCTCAATCTTCTCCCTGAAAATGGATCCGGCCGTCTTGGATCAGGGATGCCGTCTGCATCGCAAATTTGGATCTGATCGATTCCTTGAAGTAGTGATACCGTCACCGAGCTCATGGACGACTCCGATCAAAGACCCCGACGTATCTCAAGAGGTGATTCGCTGGTTTTCTTCTAAGGTGCATCACCTGGCCGGCAGGCAGTGGCGAGCTTTCTTCGCAAGGGACGCAGGGCGCAAGGTTCTTCAGACGAACGTGTTCTTTGGTCCAAGTCCGAAAAGCATCTTGCAAAAACGATTTTGCTATTTTGCTGAAGATGGAACCAATTTTGACGTCGCTCCTTCTACCGACCATCGGCCTGTGCACGCCCTTAGAGAGCCGCGACCCAAGCTGGAGGTTGGGCAGATGCTCGACTGGCTCTTGCAGTTGGATCGTAACAGTGACCGACCTTACCTTAAGCTCTTCACCTGCATCCAACTTGGTCTCAGCAAAACGAAAGTAGTAGCTTCTCTGGATCAGAACCAGATACGACACCGACAAGAAGATATCATATCGCCAATCGGTGAAGTGATGAATGATGGCGTTGGTCGCATGTCACTGCTTCTTGCCCGCCAAATCAGGGACGTCCTTGGTTTGAGCGGCATCCCTTCTGCGATTCAGGGTCGTCTGGGCTCTGCCAAAGGCGTGTGGATTATAGACGTTGAAGACAGCGGAAGCGATATCTGGATAGAGACCTGGCCCTCGCAAAGAAAGTAGGACTGCGACTTCCTTCAACAAGAACATCGGACACTAGAGATCAAGCCCGTTGCTGCACAGCCTCGATCTGCCAGCCTCAACATTCAGTTCCTTCCCATTCTAGAAGACCGTGCCAAAGATAAGCAGGCCATGAGGAAGTTTGTGGGAGACAGGCTCCTAGACCAGCTCAGCAACGAAACTGAAGCCCAGAAAGATGTAATCAAGCATCCGCTGCGATTTCGGCAATGGGTAAACAAAAACCTCGCCGCCAGGACGCAGCGTTTGGCCCACGACAGCGTGCCGTTCCTTGCTGGGCTTCCCAAGTACAAAGAGGATCAGCTCAATTATTTGACCGATGGCGGCTTCAAACCAACCGAACAGAAATTCATGCAAAATATGATATGGGAGCTCCGGCGCGCAAAGTATGAAAATCTGCTGAAGAAGATGAGCATCGAGATTCCAGGCTCGGCGTACTTGTACATGGTAGTCGACTTCTGGGACATTCTGGAAGAGAACGAGGTGCAAATATGCTTTTCATCTCCGTTCCGAACCGAACGCTTCTCTGACTTCATGCTACATGGATGCGAGGTTCTTGTCGCACGATCTCCGGCGCACCTTGTCAGCGATATACAGAAGGTCAAGGCCGTCTTCAAGCCGGAATTGCGCGCACTAAAAGATGTCGTTGTGTTTTCAGCAAAGGGAGACGTTGCTCTTGCCGACAGGCTTTCGGGCGGCGATTACGATGGAGACAAGGCTTGGGTGTGTTGGGAACCAGCTATTGTGTCTAAGTTTGAGAATGTCACTATGCCGACAAAACCAGACATTTCGAAGCATCTCAGGAAGGATACAACGTCGTACGGAGACCTCAGTCATGGAGTAATCAAGTCCGTGGCAGCTTCGGCAATGATCAGTCGTGGCATTGTCTTTGACATGCAACCCAGCTTCTTAGGAATCGCAACCAAGTTCAAGGAATAACTCTGCTACAACATGAACGACCTGAACAATGAGCAGGCTCTCTTGTTGAGCGCACTTCTTGGTAGCCTGGTCGACTAGTCGAAGCAAGGAATCGAGTTTACAGAGAGGGATTGGCATTTATTCCGAGGACAGATCTTACATGGTTGTGCAATCCAAAAGATGAACAAACCGGCTTACGAACAAGAGAATTGGACGAGCACATATGGCCCCGTCCATATCATCGATTATCTGAAGTTTTCGATCGCCAAACCCGCTATCGAAGAAGAATTGCACAAGCTCGGCCGGGACATGAACCTAAGTCCTAGTCCTAGCCGCGGATTGGCAGCTCTTCCGTCAAACGCCGAGGCGATTCAAACAGCTGAGTATTGGGACGCTGATCTGGCAGAACCATTCAATGAATTTAAAAGGCTAGCATTAACAACTCCGGTGCTCAAGAACGTTTTGAGGAATCTGGATGAGGACTTGGACGCCATCAAAATGAATTGGACTACTGAGATGGCCGCGGTCAAAGATGAAGACGAGCGTCCAGGTCTCATGTTGGACGTCTTCAAAGATTGGTGCGCTATTAAGCCTCGGGCAGATAAGGAGCTCGGTCCTTGGTTTGTGGCAAACCTGAAGCCATCATACACGCCCGAGGAGTTCTCCACGTGGGCTTTGATCCGAGCCAGTGCCTCATTCAAGTGCTGGTACCGGCACAAGCCGAAGCTGCTGTGGCGTATGTTTGGCATACAGTTACAGTCCATCAAGTCAATGGCTTCGCGTGGTGAAATTCCTGTCGCCGTGGTACCGAGTATGTATGCGGCTCTGAGGCCTGACAGCAAATTCATCAGTCGGGCCGTTGCCCGAATGAAGGAGGGATTGAAGTATCCCGGGGTTGAAATTGATGATGATATCGCAGAGGACGCGTAAAGATTGTGATGCAGTGGTCTTCCATCAAAAGTCATGTACCAGAACTCGTTGCTGTCGGCATGGTCGTCGTGCTGATAGTTTTCAGCAATTCGAGGCAAATGATAGTGCACTACCTACGAGGTGGCTTGCCTGCAGTGCTTGGACGATCATGTAATTGTTATGACATGAAAGCTGGACTCTGAACAATGACAATCCGCTTTTTTTTTTTTTTTAAAAAAAAGTAACAATTTCGGTCCTTCAACCCTTTGAGCACACCTGCTGTCACATGTAGACCGAGACGCTGCCAACAAAGCCTTTCCAAGGTTCCTCCCCGCCAAGCTTCATTCGCCACATGCCCATCAAATGTAATACATCGTGTCTCACAGGTTCGGATGCACCTGCACGTTGTTTGAGGGTGCAACGGGCTGATATGCACTTGTGGTCGTCGATGCCGCATCCGAGATGTCGAAAAGAGCCGGACGGTGAACGCGAGCCCGTTCACACACAATATCCGCGAAGTAGGCCGGCGGGCAAATACTGAACGCCTTGGCGGCACGGCCGAAGAGGTAGCAGAGGTTATGCGTGAGCTTCTCTAAGTGGTCCGCAGCCGAGTCACCCACGCCGTACTTCTCCCTAAAGATCTCATCCAAAAGCACAGTATAGTGAGCAGGGCGGGCGGTCCCCTAGAGAGCTGTGTGGGCGGTCAAGAAGAAATCCCAGCAACGAGCCTGACTGACACCGCGGTCGATGACGGTGCCCTTTTTGATGTTGCGCGATTTCTGATCCATGTTCACTTCAGACGTAGGGTAGAAGCGCGTCTGATGACGTTTGATGGATACGATGATGGAGAGCCTCGGGTGCTGCTTAGGCGGATAGAGCTGGTCACACGCCTTGCGGATCATAGGCAGCTCAGTTGTGAGGACCTGGGTAAATTGGCCTTCCGAGACGCCGTTTCGATAGATGATGAGGAACTCAGGGAGTCTGTCTTGGTTACGCTGACGCCATAACAAGAGGCGAGACTTGAAATTCTCTGTGAGCTCATCTCCAAGCATCTCCTTACGGGAAGGCTGTTCCCACGCAACAGCCGGCCATTGTCCGAGGTCTTTGTCAACACTGGCAACCATTCCGACCAGGCTGGGCGCTGCGCTTTTTTCGTTGGACATGTTCGTAGGACGAGTGACATCGTAGCCAACAACCATGGCTCTACCTGAGGTGAGGATGTCGATTGTATCCTTGACTATATGGTTGGTGCCTCCATTCTTGAGGTTCCATTTGAGACCAATGTTGGCGCATGTCTGGAGGTTATGGAGACATTCACAGATCTGTGGCAAGTGGCTATTAACGTGTGTTCATACGATTGACGAATGTAGCCAAATAAGAGGATGAAGGAACGTGTTTCCGACGCTATTATCTGCAAACGTCCAACAATGCTTTCTTTATTTCTCTCACTTAGACCTCTCGTCGTATCCTTTCCCACTCTGCACACCAGCGTGGAAGCTGGTCATCCGCGTAGTCCCAAGAAAGGGGCTGTGTGAAAGTTTGCAAGTCGTTTTCGTCAAATGCAATCGAAGAAGCCGCGGGATCAAAGGCAGCTGGCCGAGCTCCAGGCGCAATCTTGAAAAGCTCTGCGCGGGTCCATCTGCTAAGGCGTTCTCTGACAAAGTCCCCCCAACCACTGAATTCTCCATCCGTAAGTGGACGGCGCAGAGAATAGGAAGAAATCTTCTTCGCCTTCAGGGTCAGCACGTGGCGACTAGTTACACCAAAGTTTCTTCGTCTGCGCGTGCTGTTCCCGAACTGAGCGGATAGAGACTCATGCGTGATCTCGCAACGGGAGTGCTCGATAAAGTGGGAAAGTGTGGAAGAAGGTGTACCGACGCTGTCTTGAAGATGCACAACTAGGGATAAGTTGTCGCCTATGCGCCGATGGCCCAGACCTTTCAACCCTTCAGATGACCAGTCCGGCCAATTGAAATCACGATTTGTCCATCCTTGGTGCGCATACTCGACCAGCCTGCGACCACCTTCATTGTCTATGTCTCTTAAAGGATAAAACACATGCTTTTGTATGGTTAAGGCTGGAAAGAGCGAGTATGCCTTGTCGCAGAGTATGAAATTAAGGTCTGCAGTTGTGCAGGAGGTTTGCAAGATGGTTAACAGAGGAAATGATGCAGTCTGAACGATGCGGATTGTCGTTTTGCGCTCAAGATTTTGAAGCAGGAGGATGCTGTGTATCTGTGCCAATAATAAGCTTCGACTCTGTCCGTGAAGGGGAGGTTGTTATAATACGTCTCTATCTCGCTCATCACTTGCGTCCTGCACTGAACCGGTGACATAGCTCTCCTCCTCTGTGATGTATTAACAAGTGAAGCTTTCCGCCTTCTGTCCGTTCTGGACGAACACATCCAAATACAGAGTCTGGGAACATCCACGGACAAAGAAGTTGAGCGCGAACCCGCGCGAGATTATGGCGTCGCAATCCTGCATACGTTGGCGGAATTTATCAGGTTCAAGAACGAACCCTTGCAGGTGCGCATTCAGATTGAAGAGCGCTCCCCGCAAACGCGCAGGAAGCCAGCGGAATGCTTTACAGACCATCTGAAGCATGAGGATATCTGAAATATTCAGATGATACAATATAGATTTCACAATCGGATAACAACGGCTAGGATCGAGTAGACTTTCCAGGTTCGCTGTGTGGCAATCGGGCTGAGAGGTCATGGCTGAGATAGGACGAGGTTTATGAAGCTGGAATGAATAGTTTGATGGACTTTCCTCAAAAATCAGTGGCCTCACCTGCAGGGAGCCGTCGCAATTACCGCTAGCAGGTCGTAAGAGTGATTGTCTCGTTTCGCTTGAGGTACGATGAAATGGATGTTGGTGGGGACCTAGGTGTTTCATCACAGAATATGTTCATCCAAGTGGAAGCGCCGTTTATCAATTTTCGCGGAGCCGTTGCGGGGAAAAGGCGGTGAAGCTGTCACGTAACAAGGATGAGAACCGCAATCAACAAAATGCCCGTCACGTGCTATAGCACGTGTACATCATTTGTATCCCATCGGGTGCTGACTGACCCCATTTTTGCCAAGGGCGGGATAGAGCCAATGAGGGCTTGAACAACTGTTGGGTTAACCAATAGATTTCTAGTACCTCTATTTCCTATAGATCCTGCGTATGCCAGAGGTACCAGCAATCTCTGTCAATACATAATGGTACATTACAGTCTAAGCAGCCCTTCCGTGTTTTCTTTCGAGTGAGGGCATTCCCAGATATCTCGCCTAAAGTCTGGCGGGCTCTTAATGCCTTTAGACTACCACAATAAGAGCAAGGTGAATTGACCTTCCTGGATCCCTTTTGATGGTGTTCCCATGGAATAGAGGTATTCCTTTTATCTGTAGCCCGCCTAGGTCATGAAAGTCTTCGCCCACCTGCTAATGGTCCAAACTGTTGAATAAGCTGGGCTGCAAGCAGCTACCGCCATTGGTAGTGGGTTTTCACCTTTTGCCACCTAGGGATGCCCCAAAGCTGCAGTAGGAAGCTATTCACAACTACCACTTCTAGCAGGAAATTCCACGCAATTGACTGCCAGCCCCCTCGACGAATAGGGTGGCTGTATTGGTAGTAGGACCTCATCTGGTCACTTACATCAACCCCATTCATCTTATGGTTGTACTCATCGATTGCCCTAGGCACTGGAAGGTTCTTGCGGACGTCTGAGCCAAACACTTGTCGGGCAGCCTTCTTAGCAGCGGAATCCCCAGCTGGACGGCGGCGGCTGCGAATAACTTCCTGACCGTCCTGGAAGACAGTTGACAGGAAGAGGACAAGGGCATTATCCTTCCAGGTGAACTGGTTGACCTATTTGCTAGTCAGGTAGGTAGGCTGGCTAGACTAGGCAGGGTAGGACAGGGCTAGGATGGCTGGCTGGCTGACAGCTTACCTCTCCATCTAAAGTTGGGATACAGTGTATTTCCCCCCAGGGGATACCCCGTCCTTCGGTCTCTTTCTCGGCAACTAGGATCTCATCTATCCCACTATCCTTCCGGCAAGTACCAGAAGCTCCAACCTGTTGATTCCGCAGAGTACGAAAGAGACGTATAGAGGCGAAGAGGTTGTCTAGAAATACGTGATAGGTTGCAGCTGGAAGGAGGGAAATAAGGGTAGTTACTACCTGCTGCGTCGGTGTCAACAGAGCCAGCTTTCCAGCAGCTGCCCCGGCTGGACGGGCCTGGGGGACTAATGCGTATGGGCCCTTTCCATGTACGTGCCACAGCCACCGTACACAGTAGCCAGACTGGGCAAGGATCCTGATCTTATAGCCGGTTGGGATAGGTTTTGTTGGAATCGTTGTCGTCTCTAGAGATCGACCTGTAAATCGGACCATAGCCTCGTCAACTGTAAGGTCGGAGCCAGGTATATAAAGGGAATCTCCAGTCTCTTGAATATGGGATGACCACTGGTTGACTTTCCGGTATACATCTGGCATTTGATTTTGGCCCCGGCCCCGACCCCGGCCCTGACTGGGCTGGGCTGGCTGGCTGGGCGGGAATTCAGCAGTGTTGAATATCCGTAGTCGCTGGAGTAGTAGTTGGAAACGGTCCCGGGATATAAACCGCGTAAATAGGTGGATAGGGTCCTCCTTTTGCTGCTGGGTCGACCAGTAGGTTGACAATCTAGATTCCCAATGGATTCCTATATATAATAAGATTTCTAGGAAGAGGTAGATCTCTTCTACTGAAGTCTTCCTCCACTTGTACACTCTAGACGTTCTGGCCCTAGGGCCCTCCTTAGATAGCGGCGCTGCATTCGTCCACTGGGCCCACTGCTCTACGAGACCCTTCGGAACGTATTAGACAAATAGTTCTAGCGGGCTTGCCGGGAGCTGCCGTACCTCTTGGGCCCGGGCCGGCACGTTAAAGGGCCGGAAGGAGCCCGGAAGACCATGCTCAGTAGCTGGAGGTTCGTGGGGCCGGACTGTTGCTGCGTCACAGCGCTCGGGCGTACAGTCTGTATTACAGGTAGTAGTAAGGTCTTCCGGAAGGACCTCGACCACTATACAGCTGCGTATAGAAGTAATAGAAGCGCCAGAAGCATCAGAATCGCTAGAAGACATCACAGCATTAACCAAAATGGTGGTTTTGGTGGTGAAAATAGGTTGGAAATTATAGGGGTACATGACGTACTGTCATGTATCCCTTTGAATGCGGAGTAAAAGTGGGTAGATATTGGGTATTTTCGGGCTTGGCAAAAATGGGGTCAGTCAGCACCCGATGGGATACCTTGCCCACCTCTGATCCCTCGGGGTCGCCCGCCTATGTCATCCGAACGTCCATATCAGACCTCCACAGCCACCGGTTGGTCAACCGAGGAGAGTGGAGCCCGGGCAAGAGGCACGTACCACCGGGCAGATACGCTCTGTTAGATCAGGTGAACTTGTAGGCTTATCTCGTGGGCTTTTCCAATCCCTGGACGACGGCAGTGTGATAGAGCGCCGCTCACCACATGGAATCCATGACCTCTCCCAGCGCGTTCATGGCGACTCAGCAGCCCAGCTCACGCCATTGCCAATGACGAGATTTATATCGTCAGCACCGTGGCTCCAGACTACCTTTCTCTTCGAACAAGGCACATTGTACTCTTCGTACATGTCGTCCCATGTTGACGTCCGACATTGTCTCCCAAGAAGCGTATCTCCACGCGACCGGACTTTGAGAAGCCATCATCGGCTCGGCGGGCAGCGGTTGGCGTCCATGGCCGTTTCGGCAACGACGCAAGGACTATAGAGGTAGTCTCGAAGTTGATACTGGACCGCACGACATCAATGGAGTCTGCTGTGTCGAAATGAGATTACCTCGCGGCTTACATACAGTAATGTGCACATGTCACTTCCTCTTTTGCAAACATTAACAATGTTTGAGAAGCTGAAAGTTGCTGTGATGGACCCCTGTAAACCTCTGGTAATGGCTGTGGCGACTTGTTTGCAAGCAAAATGTGGGGTCGGGATCATTAGATACAGTGCGAGCAACAGCACGTATCCAAGAGCTACTTGAAAGTATCCATAACCGGCTTCCACAGCTGTCATTCTCCCACTGTCAATCATGGTGATGTGTACACAGTGAGGCTGGCTTTCGGCGCAGCCTGTGTGGGTCAAGTTCAGAAAGATGAAGTGTGTTGCCAAGAGGAAGCAACATATGATCAATACTGTACTCACCCGTGAAAGCTCTAGCTCATTTCTCCACTCATCGAGTTGACGACGAAAGCAGCCCGATATGGCGTCTAGAATCCTGTCAAGGCTCACGAGAAGTATATCTCATCTACATCTGGCTTCCATTTCGCGCTCAGCAGTCGTCCTCACATAAAACGATCCACGACGCCCACCTGCTTCGGCAACGCACCGGCACCCCGCCGCATTGCGACGGCAATACCATGGCAGCCAGACCTTTGAAGCGCCCTCGTCAGTCAAACGGCCTGCCGCGCCTACCAACCGACATAGACGACGCCGTCGCGGCCTTGGGCGGGAGAACCCATGCAACCAACCTCGCGGACAGTACCATACTGTCTCAGAAGGCACCGACCAGTAAGGAGGAACGTCTAGAAGAACTCGTGAGATATTCCGGCCGCCTCAGGCAAGAGCTTGGTTATTGGAAAGGTGTGGCCCTCACAGGGACCGCCTTCATGTCCAACGTCGAACAAGCTGTGGTGCGGCTTCGAGATGTTGTCAGCCGTTCCGAGAGCGTCATGAATGAGACAAACGCTGTGTCTGCAGAGGAAAGCATGGGTGATGGTCATCCGTCTGGATCTGGGCCGAGTAAAGGCGTGAAGGGACAGGCTCTAGACGAGCCAGACTTGCCAGTAGCAGAGGATGATCTTGGTGTACTCTTGGCTCCAGTCAGGCGGGGCCGAGAAGGGTATGAATTCGAGGCTGTCAAGCCGGAGATCAAGCGGTCCAGGCCACTATACAACCCTGGAAGTTGGCTCTGACCGTGATGCCGTAGAATGAGATTGAGCCTTCATGCCCATGCTTACCAATGCATCATCGCTGTCATTGTCGTGGGACACTTCTGTAATCGGGGGTTGGGGGCTTCTGGTTTGGTCCCCAGCCAACAGAAAGCTGCCGCGCGCGCTAAATGCGATGTTTCAGGATCACCCCTCGGAGCTCGGCGTAGCCAGTGACGCGAGCAGGTGGCCGGCCGTGAGCGCCAGGTCCAAACAGCTTCGTGTCGACAGATCAAAATGATTGGGAAGCGAAGGGCGATGCCTGCTTGGCAAGCAGACGACGCGTATCGTCTTGACTGGCATGTCTGGGGTCGCTTCAGCCGTGGTGTTCCGGTGTGGTTTGCCAGTGTGTCCCAGGCTCCAGCGCGCCAGTGACGTCCGCAATGGGCCCCACCTAGGCACCGAATAAATTGAAAGCAAAACCAGCCAATCGATCGTCTTGCTGCTGGTGGATTCATTCGCGGAATAAAAACCTACCGCGTCCCGCCCTTTGTCTGGGCTGCCTGCCTCCTGCCTACTGAATCCCAGCCTTCTCCGCTTCTCATCCTCCGCACATTGACGACCTCAGCAACTCCATTTCCAACGTCATCATCCCCTCTCCAGCTCTTTATCTCTCCTGCGCGTCCTCGTTGACGAGGCCTGTCCCAACCGTTCCGACCGTTCATTTGCTGGCGTGACTCATTGTGCGAGCGGGATCGGGTACTCGTCGGAACCAATTCAGAGCGTAGCATTCGCAGCTTCACGCCTGAGTTCGTGACTAGACACCCCGGTCAT